ACGTTACCGTGCAGTATAAATATTCACAACAATACCTTATGAAGGCGGGGTATATATTACCAGCAACAAAAAATTAATCACCATGCCAACATCTGCTACCTGCTTCGTACCACAGCAGGATTTACACTTTACACCGTCCCTTTGGTGATTGTGTTTTTTTGGGGGGGTGATTTTTTTAATAGTTTATGTAGGGGATCAGAAGTAGTGTAATAGATTTGTTAGATAGATCCAGTGACAGGCTCTGGTAGCCATTGGTTCGTCAGAGATGACATTCAAGTATTTATGAAAGTGTTAGTGGATATGTTACTTATAGTCTGTTCACGTTATATCTGGAACAGGAATCACATTTATCAAACTCTTTGACTTAATTGTAGCGTATACTGACTGATGCACTTTTAAAGACGTCGCTCTGATATAGAAACATTCATTTTTGTTAAATGTTTTAATAAACATACAGGTTCCTAATCCTTCAACACTCCCTTGATCCCAATAGTTTCATTCTTATTGACGTCTGTCAAAACTAAATTATATGATGAATACTTTGGGCGTGTGCCTCGGGAACCGGCTGTGCACAGCTAATCTAACAATCTCATATTTGTCTCCTTTTTATGGACCTGACTTCGATACATGTTACATGAATATGATGTTACATAAACCAGTTTACACTTCATGCTTTGGCGCAATCTGCTCAAGATTACTATGTACAGGTGAGGATGTGTAAAATGTGTGCACGTCATTTTCAAGATTATTAACCATTTACTTACTGTGTGAGTGGCTTTTTGAGCTTGTCAGGCCTGTGTCGCAATAAGTGCTGGTACTTTTAAATACCACGACACAGTTTTCACATGGTTACCCCACTCACTCACTCAGTGAATACATATACGTTATTCTGCATGAAGGCCTTTGATCATTTACAAATAACAAGTTGGTTTCTGGCAATGTGCATCATTTTAAAATTGTGTAACAAAAGTAATTAGAATTTTGTAAGTCAGCATCATTCCCTGCAAATCGGCAAATGACTGCATTAACACTTCTAGTATGGTTGAAAAGAGATGTATCCGTTTAAGAACCATGGCATATTCATTTATGAATAGTTAGAATAAAATAGGTCTCAGCATACATCCTTGTATTAAACCAAACGGACAAAACTATTCTCTGAGATAACCGGGGATATTTTTTATCGTTGTATGGAACGGGATACTAATTGTCCTAAAAAAATCCATTTAATAACCGTGTTAGTGAACGAAAGCAGGGAAGCAATATGTATTTCAATGAGCACATACTCAATTCCAGGTGATTTTCTATATATTTTAGCGCCAATGTATTAGCTAATGTATAGTAACGCATATTCTTATATCTGTCAGAGAAAATCTTCAACCTTACACAAATCTACAGGTCTGTAAGTTTCAGTTTTAAAAAGTTTTAAGTCCCAAAACATTTTAGGTAGATTTAAACCTACTGTTATTTTTAATCGTAGCATATATGTTCTTTTAATTTACGGCTTGATTGTCAAAAATTGCTGAAAGCTGAAGGGATGGTGTAAATCCAGCTAGGGTCCATGCAGGTAGCAAAAGTAATGTCCCTATGGTCCCTAGTATGGTGATCTACCTTCAGCTGTTGGCGATCTATAGCCCATTGTTATACTTTGTTGTCCTAATTTTGAAATCCAATTTTAGAGAGAGTTGTTAGTTTTATTCCTTGATACTGTGATATTCTAGTTGATTTTACTGTCCTTCGTCGGCAGGTTTATATAATTTATATGTATTTATGGTGAATTCACACCTTGTCTACAGTCACGATATGGCTGAAATATTGCCGATGTGACTTAAAATCTTAACTCACTCACTCACTTTAAATAATACTAGCTTTTAAAAGTAGTTCTGAAATTATCAAAATAACTGTCGTTTTCATACAATAAGTAAAAAGGTTGATTGCAATAACTCTTTCCGAAAAGCTGCTGAATTTGGTTTACTTTGCATAAAATCATTGTCCTGTTCCAGTTGGCGCTCACTTTTCTATCATCTGTGATACATAAGTTCCATTTCAATCAAAGTATCGTTAAATTTACTATTGTTTTAATAGTAGAATATATGTTTTATTTTAATGTTCGGCTAAATATCTCAATAATCGCCAACATCTGAAGGGATGGAGTAAATCTAGCTCGGGTCCATGCAGGTAGCAAAAGCCCCCATGGTCCCTAGTATACCGGACACGACAATATATACGTGTACGATGTACTTTACATTATATTTGTAACATAAAGTTACGGGCAAATGCTTAGTACTGTTAATTACTCTGCTGTTTTTACTTGTAATTGCTATAACGTGAGGCCTTGAATGTTGTAACATTCTTGTACAGTCTTACAAATAGAGACTTGTAATATTTAACACGAGGGCTTGATTCAATACATATTTCTTATGATTATGGAAATGGTTTTGCCGATCATATTTTAAACTAGATACATTATGTTCTCTACCGATTGCGTCATACTTGTATTGTGTGATAGAGTGATCCGTTTTTAGGACTATAATAGAAAAGCATATTATGAGGTAATAATATATCTAGGAATATCAATAAGAAACTGTGAGGTATGTTTTTCCAATAACAATAAAAGCAACACAACCTTTTACATAACCATGAGAAACCTCTGCTAAAATCAAAATGCATTGATCCTCCAAGGTTTTTTCATAAGCAAGTGTTTATAAATCTCTGTCACATATATTTATATCTGTCACAAGTATTATTTCTTGCTCTTATGACCCGTGAAGATCCGGGGTAGAATAGGTCTTCAGCACCCATGCTTGCCACAAAAGGCGACTATGCTTGTCGTTAGAGGCGACTAACGGGATCGGGTGGTCAGGCTCGCTGACTTGGTTGACACATGTCATCGGTTCCAAATTGCGCAGATCGATGCTCATGCTGTTGATCACTGGACTTTCTGGTCCAGACTAGATTATTGCGTTTAGTTTTACGCCGCACTCATCAATATTCCAGCTATATGACGGCTGTCTGAAAATAATCGAGTCTGGACCAATCAAGTGATCAACATCATGAGCATCGTGCTACGCAATACGATGACATGTGTCAACCAAGTCAGCGAGCCTGACCACCCGATCCCGTTAGTCGCCGAACCAACATATAAGACGTCCATGTTGTATGTGCGTTTAATCCCTGACAAACCGGCTATGCGACTTCTATACTTGATGATCTCAAGGTCGCTATTTATAGTTTCGGCTATATCCCTCACGATGTAGCAGGAAACCCAGAAGACGTTTACAATTTGGTGATACTTACGAACGTTGCCATTGTGCTGGTATCATAATCATCGGGACCTAACCCATATCATAGGCTACTGGCGCACCTAAGGGACGCTACTCTGCACTGAAGATAGAGCCACGCGTATCCCACCTAAAGCGACGCATACAATGACATATTTATACTCTGTATATCTGAATCTATCTATTTCATCTGGTTACCTACAACCGAAATGAGTTTATCGTCTTTCATCAGTTGGTGTTGATGTCGTAAAATACAACACGATGTCTGTGAAGACCCCCTTTTTCGAATCGTAACTTATATTATTCCTCATCACACCAGGTTCACAATGACCAGGCTGAAAAAGAAGATGGTATTGGCGATTCGGGCGTGCGTCGTCGTAGTGTTTGTGTACATGGTGTACATGCTGAGAAAGAGCAGTCATCCTGGTGAGCGTATTTCAGCACTGGGAAACACAAAAACAAACAACGTAGACACCAAAACAAACAACGTAGACACCAAAACAAACAACGTAGACACCAAAACAAACAACGCAGACACCAAAGCAAACAACGTAGACGGTGCCTTGGTGAACGTCATCGAAGAGCACCACGAAGGTAAGCGTGAATGAGTGAGTTTAGTTTTACACCGCCTGTAGCACTATTCCAACAATATCAAGGCGGGGGACAACAGACATTGGCTTCACACATTGTACCCATGTGGGGAATCGAACCCGGGTGGTGGACGTGACGAGCGAACGCTTTACCATGTAGGCTGTCCCACCGCCCCCGAAAGTAAGATATTGTGGAGTTCCATGATATGTTATGGAGAATTTACAGCAGCACAAGAAGATTGGGTTTTTTAAATTTCACCTTTCTGGATATTGTACACTTCTAGATTTTTCTCGATACATTAACCCTCTGCTCCAATTGACAACAATGTTGCTTGCAATTCTAGTAGTCATTGTGCGTGTTTATCCATTGCATCATTCCATTGTTTATCTTAATTCCAACAGCTCTTCTATACTGGTTTACTGCCGCGAAAAGAGGTTCTTTACCGGAGAAGGGGAATATCCTGGTAAGGAGACATAAATTTGGGACTAATGTTGTTTCATGAACAAGAAAACAATGTCCATGTTCCCAGATATGTTTGAATATCCAATAATAAGAACATGTGACAGTCTGTTATAAACCTCAACATACTGCAATACCACAATACCATCTCTTAAATATACGAGAACATGTGAAATCTGCTGAACACAGAGGACATGTCTGACTTGAGACCGGTTTCTAACCAGTTGTTCAGTTCACAGTTTCACACAGACTTGACCGTCTAACCAGTTGTTCAATTCACAGTTTCACACAGAGGACATGTCTGACTTGACCTGCTAACCAGTTGTTCAGTTCACAGTTTCACACAGACTTGACCGTCTAACCAGTTGTTCAATTCACAGTTTCACACAGAGGACATGTCTGACTTGACCTGCTAACCAGTTGTTCAGTTCACAGTTTCACACAGACTTGACCGTCTAACCAGTTGTTCGACCCACAGTTTCACACAGACTTGACCTGCTAACCAGTTGTTCAGTTCACAGTTTCACACAGACTTGACCGTCTAACCAGTTGTTCAATTCACAGTTTCACACAGAGGACATGTCTGACTTGACCTGCTAACCAGTTGTTCAGTTCACAGTTTCACACAGACTTGACCGTCTAACCAGTTCACCAGTTTATATATGCACCAAGATGCTCCACGCACATAACTGCCATTCTCCCAATGCTGTGTTCTCGGTGTGTGGGTTATGTGCTGTTTAAGGAAAACTTGTAATGTTGTTGGTAAACTAAATATATTTTATGCAAATCACGAAAAGATCTACTGCGTTAATGATATTTTGCTGCCTTTTCAGTATGTAAAATTCATATATGATTAGTCAGAGACATTAGTCTAGCTTTTCATTGACATCATAAGCTAACCACAAGCTGTTCAATTCACAGCTTCACATAGACGGCCACCCAGACGCTGGTGACCCCGATGACTGGAGCAAGACCCCTCTCTACAGAATGCCAAGAAATGAGCATGAACTTAAGTTGATGATGCAGCAAAACGATATCTTTATTCAGGTAACAGGAAACATAAAGTTATAACAAAGTAACACACTTTATCGTATGTTCTATGTTTCATTGCGACTAGAAACAAACATAGCCTCTTCAGCAGTAGCTTTCAGGTTGGCGTTTGAGCTTGAGTATTAACATTTGAGGAACGCATTAATTATCACTATTTGTTGTTATTTTAATTAATTTAACTGAACATTGAATGTATTCGACAATCACTGGATTGTCTTGTCCTGACTAGATTTGTTTACAAACAACATCGTACATCTGTATTACTGCTGAAAGAAATATATGCTCATAATTGTTAATCGCCTCTGGTTTTAGCAGAGCTTTTATGAATGTGGAAAGGGTTTTGTCGATTCTATTTGAAGATAGCTGCTGGTACCGGGTTGATAAATCGCTTCATCTGGGTGTGGCCAAAGTTTGATGTTGGCGGCTGGTTTCATAAGAAAAATGAATCTTACGTCTCCATGAAGCTGGAAGTCGGGTTCATGTACCAAGACGAGGGGATCCGTCCAGCACTCGAACTGTGTTACTGCTTACAGTCAGACTATTTCCAAATAAAACATCCATGTAATATAGCCAAAGTGAATAGACGTATGCTTGAAGGTATTGAACCCTTTCCCATAGATCGGGGAAGCTGTCTGGATATGACCCTGGGCGGTATTGTGGAGCTCGTGAGTACAGACAAGGCTATAGAGCTGGCTAAGTCAGGCAGCTGGATCAAGGCGAGTGACAGCGTCATCTTGGACATTGACGAGGACTTTTATGGATGTGAAGCTGTGTCCGCACCTCTGTATGATGCTGGGATGAATGAGGACGACATTAAAGGTCTGTCCTTCTATGTTGGAAAGATTTTGTGTACTGACAATGCAAAGGATGAAATGAAAGCTGATAGATACTTTCAGAAACTTCTCAAAGCTGTGCAAGAAACACTTAAACGTTGCCACAGTGGCCGACTAGGAGAAGAGACATGTGAGTCTAACCATGCATTCACTGAAGCAGTATTAGCCTTGATGCCAGATATGACGACAACAAAAGATATTATGTGTCTTCCTAAGGAGTCGACCCTATTCATGTTAGTGAACCTTGTCGCACGTCTGTCACGATGTTCCGACACACAACTTCAACATATAGCAAGCATTGGTGTTTGCATGTACGAGTCCCAAAGATCAACGACTTTCAATCGAAATAACGGAATGATTCTTTGTGCCGGATACAATGGACCAATGAGCGATAAGGTGTTATATCATAGTACAAATGAACAGGAAATCGCAATTTCTTCAAGAAGTCTCAAAGAAATGTTAACACAAGCTTTCATCCCTCAAGTTGTAACAGTGTGTAGGTCTGTTCGGGATGGTTATACACCGAGAAGGAGTTTCCACTGATAGAAGAAGGGGTGTTGGGTGCTCTTAAGGCAGTGTACCCAGACCACGTGAGAGACGACACAATACATTATGACAGTGAGCTGCTGGGAGGACGTGAAGGCTGGTACTCCAGATACAACCGTTGAACAATTAATCTTCATATAGGTACCTGTTGCAATCTTATCGATACAATATCTATAAATATTTACGTGTATGCACGTGTCTGTGTGTTGCAATACTAAAACGTTCAGTTTGTGCGATGGCATTGTGTCATAATGCTGGTTTGAAAAAGACCCAGCTGTTGATTAATTTTCAGTTAGTGTTTGTAGTCGCCGTTTCCTCTATCCATATTCAGCTAGTAAACCATTTCTGACAGTAGCGTTAAAGAAATCACACCCATACGATGGTTTCTCTGACCAAGTCCCGAAAGAAGCCATGTGGGTAATCAAACCCGTGTTTTCAGCTTGACGAGCGTACGCTGTAACCAATGAGGACTAAGTCTATGGTCAGTTTTGCATTGCTTTATCACGGAATGGCAACTGGGGGTGAGAGAAAAGCTGGAAGTAAGCCGGTCTGTGCCACTTTGGCGAAACCCACGTGCATGGGATATTTCGAAAGGTAGTCAGGTTCAATTGGACTGGTCGAACCTGAGATTTCTAGTACGCATAATCGACCACACCCTCTTCACCAATAGTTTAATGTTTACTGAAGGCGCCAGCCACTAGTGTTTATGGTCTCGATTCCATCATGGATTGATGTTGTTAATGCGGTTTTGTTGTGTGTGTTATGTGTCATGTAAACAATCGGTGTCAGTAAAGTCTTTCTTCGTGCATTTGATCAGCTATTGTGTTGTTTATGGATTAGTTGAGTGTGTGACCCAAGGGGAGGCAGTAGCAATCAACGTCCTTATCCACAAAGCGTTTGTATCACTACGTCATTCGCAATCCTTTGTTAAACTATATATTTACGATAGCTCGTAGCGTTACGAACGCGTTGTGGATCGGGACCCTGGGACTATGCCTCGTCAGGTGTTAGAAATGTCACGTTTTTCACGTTCTACATGACGTCACAGCACTATGACGCAATACACTTGTCTAAATCAATGCTTTGTTCTCGGGAGAATCCGATTTGGACGAAAACCCTACAATATATTTACATAATCTACCTACAAAATATCAAAATGAGATTCTTTAGCCGCCATATTGCCAAGCGACCTATCATGTTGGCGTGGACTGCTTCCATTGCTTACACATTACGCGTCCCCGGTTTGCTGGACGAGATCATGAGTTTCCATTGCAATGACAGAGATGGAACAGAAAGGCAACATAAACGTTGTCCTGAGTGTGGTTTATTCTGATGTAGGTGTACCGGCTCAATCTCCTTGACCTTCAGAGGTAGCAAAACTAATGTAAGTCCCCATGGTTCCTAGTATGGTGATCTACCTTTAGTTGTTGGCGACCTATAGCCAGTTTTAATATTGTATTGTCTAAATAGTGCTATCAGTTTTAACTTTCCATACTAGTTTTAGTTGTAATTGTGATATTGTTGTTTTACTGTCCTTCGTCGACAGGTTTTTTGTAATATTAATATCTCCCATTTCAATGTCACATATGTTCTCGTCACGATATGGCTGAAATATTGCCGATGTGACGTTAAATATTAACTCACTCACTCACTCCTTGACCTTCAGAAATGAAGGCTGTGACATGAAGAACATAGCCATGTTCCCTCACACGTTTATGAATAACAAGACCATATCAAGAGTTCGAACATAAGAAAATCGTCAGGCTCCAGTAGCATTGTAGCCAGTATCACAAATCTCCTCCACACACCAGCACATCATGATCGTGGTTGGACTGTAAATCACGATTTAGTGTGAAAATATGCATAGATATATCGGTAACTGCTGGTTCATCATAACATCGTACAAAACAAATCTGTTAATACAGCAGATGTTACGGTCCTATTCGATTGGACGCACAAACACATTTCACTAAGAAAATGTCAATTTTACATTGTTGGCCAAGGCGCAGCAAATGTCTCCATTCTGGATACAACCCGCAGGAGGAAAACACCAACAAGAACGCAGTCCTAAAAGGTAAATTACAATAAAGTGAAATTGGTTGAATCCGATCCGATCAGACCTGTAGTTGAGAAGGACTGTGAAACGATGTTTCAGTTTTCAAAAGCGCTTCACCTCAAATATACCAAGTATATAAATGTAGTGTTATGGAGGGATTTCAAACTTGCCTTGTTGTTAACTCATATACAGTCTTCGTTGTCCATAGCATTTGTTAGCCTAATGTCGAAATGTTGTATTTGAGATAGTGAGATATAGATGTACACAGGAACGGATTGGAGGATATTGAGACGATAAAAATGCTCATGGAACTTCATAAATCTGAAGCGTGAAGGAACAATCAGTTCCTTCACGTAAATTAGGAAAAAGAACATGACCTGAATCTGTCTTTTGAATGTGAATCTGTGCATAAATATTCTTTGACAAAAACTCTCCTCTGTTCTGTATGACAAGAGGGAGAAGAAACCCTGCCGCATAGCTACGTTTACGTGTATGCGTTTGCAAAATGTTTTCACATTTTTACATAATTTATAAGGATACAGACATATAAAATTTAACATATTGGATGAAGTCATTGTCGTCTAGAACAGTTGGCGTCACAAATATATATATATATGTGTGTGTGTATATATATATATATATAGTGAGTGACTTTAGTGTTACGCCGCACTCAGCAACATTCCAGCTATATGGCGGGCGGTGTGTAAATAATCGAGTCTGGAACAGACAATCCAGTGATCAACAGCATGAGCATCGATCTGCGTAATTGGGAACCGATGACATGTGTCAACCAAGTCAGCGAGCCTGACCACCCGATCCCGTTAGTCGCCTCTTACGACAAGCATGGGTTACTGAAGGTTCATTCTAACCCGGACCTTCACGGGTCATATATATATTACCAAAGGTCCATTATCTCCATACCAAGTCAAGTCCAGTCAAGTGTGTTTATTCACGTCTTTAGTCCTTTGGCCCATATACATGTACATTTCACTACAACTTCATACTTAGAATAGTTACACATTCAATGATGTTTGCCTTCTTTTAAGGCTATGAAACATACATTTACATACTTTGAACATTAGTGTACCATTGTCTGTTATCATGAGGAGCTTAAACTTGAAGATATTTGGATTATGACAAAAATACAATGGATATGCTGTGATATTGCTGGAATGTTGCTAAAAGCGGCGTAAAACAAAACTCACTCACTCACTATCTCTATACAACTGTACTTATAATAATAATGATAATACTGGCTATTTATAAGCGCCTGTTTCCACCAACTTGTGCATGCTCAAGGTGCTAAAACATTATTGCCCAGGATGACCCAAGCTGCCCGTGAGGCGCTAGAAGGTTAACAGTCATATGACTAATTCCATCGGGCACCCATTCACTGCTAGGTGAACAGAGACAATTTAAGAACCAACTCACTTGCCTTGGGTGAGATCACATGTGTCATGTGTGACTTATGTCCAACCTGTATATAATATACAATATTGTCATTACAGAATAATGACACACCCAACCCATTAATCCAAAACGTGGATACCGATTTACACAATTATTGCATATTAAGACCTGTACAGTTAAAAGGTAATTACTAGCACTAGCGTCACACTTTAAATGTATTCTTTAAACGTCATGGATTGTTGCTCAAGGTATCAACACCATTCCACGCCTCACAAATGTTTTAATGTAGACATGTAGAGGAATTTCTAAACGTGATGCATTGTTGACAGAAATGACGTCTGAGGGAATTCAATTTTATGAATTGCACCATTGTACCCTGGTGTTAGAAGGTATTCATAAAAATTCGAATCTGTAATGTAAATATCACTTCAGGAACATAAGTGTATCGTTTACATTATCCGGATCTCAGAGGAGACACAGTTCGAATTATGTTGTGTTATGTGACGGTCAAGACATTTATAGACAAATGAATTCTTTTTTACACGAAAACACAACAAAGTGGCCTTACACAATTAGCAGTTGTGTTATGACATGTCTAACTTTACAAATTCAAACCATTTGCTGAAAGGAATTATATTATCAGTACACTACAGCGTGGCAGAACATAATTCAGTGGTAGCACATAATTCAGTGGCAGCACACAATTCAGTGGCAGCCTATAATTCAGTGGCAGAACATAATTCAGTTGTAGCACACAATTCAGTGGCAGCACATAATTCAGTGGTAGCACATAATTCAGTGGCAGCACACAATTCAGTGGCAGCACATAATTCAGTGGTAGCACATAATTCAGTGGTAGCACATAATTCAGTGGTAGCACACAATTCAGTGGCAGCACATAATTCAATGGTAGCACATAATTCAGTGGCAGCACACAATTCAGTGGTAGCACATAATTCAGTGGCAGCACACAATTCAGTGGCAGCACAGTTTGAAAAATGCGGTGATAATAGCTATAAAGTCAGTGATAAACACTCACCTTGCAGCAACGGTGGCCAAGCTTCCAAAATATGCATTGGCTGGACAAGCAGGGTGTAAACAATTCTCACGTAATACCTAGTCTTTATGCAATGCAATACGCTAGAGGCATGCGCTTTCCCCATTTATATCGTCTTAACAAGTTTCCCGAAATTTCTATACTGTGCTTGATCCCTCTCTGTTGATATCTGCTGCTAATTTTACGATATTGTTTTAAGCAATTGCTTGTGAAATATAAAAATAACCTCGTTTCATATAATCAATATAACACAAGTGTTCGTATAATAATCTCCTAATCATTATAATGTGTTAGAGATCTAAAATCGACTCTGGTTTTAGGAGAGAGTTCTTTCAAAATATGGAGAGAGGTTTGACGCTTCTATTAATATACATTGTGGTGTTATAAGCTGAGTAGTTTGTAATTTATTTTTGCAATAAAATATAACCTCATTTTCATTTGGAAACTCAGAGGGAATTCACCATGAGAATGTTTGTCAAGAAGAAGGGCGTGATAATTGGCACGTGTTTCCTGCTGGTGTTGCTGTACATTCTGAGAAGGGTCAATCGTCATGGAACAGAAACTTTGTCATCAGGAAACACAAAGACAGGCGGCACAGAAGGAGCTCTGGTCAGTGTCATCGAAGAGCACCACGAAGGTAGGGGGTGTTTTGAACGTTTCCTACTCACTTCCATGAAACTAAACGAAGCACTTCACCTTAATAATGATAAAGTGATTATCCATATATTTAAATTCGTGCAGGTTGCTCAGAATGTTTTAGTTTGGTGCACGTTGATTTGGAGACACATTATTAAAACAGAGATGAAATTGTCATTATGCAGCAGATTGTGTGATATTTCACAGCAGGTTCCTAATTGTAAGCTTATAACTGTTCAGTTTCTGTGATGCAATATTTTTTGCAGTATAGGCCAAGTCGATTCTTAGGTTCGCAACAACGGACTTACTGGTAATGTTTGTGTTATGAGTAGTGAAGTATGTCCATTATTACGTAATACAAAATGCTGCCACATTGCTAGCCTAAAAGAAATATTATACTTTCTTTACTTGAATGATTTGTTTATATTTTCGTAGTTTGACTTCGTCTTTCTCGTGATATCGAATACTTTCGTAATTTCGACTGCTGTTTTTTTTCTCTTATGTTTTGCGATTTCAAATATTTCTCGATATTTCTAGTTTTTAATTCTTACTGCAATTATTTTCCCATAATGGCAACTTTTTCTCGCTTCATCTCATTTCAAAAATCGAAATTAATGAAAGACGTGATAAAAACCTCGTTAAGGTTTGAAAAACAACTGAACTAATGATAAATATTTTGGCTAAAAAAAGAAAAGTTTGTTTTCTTAAGTTGCACCATTAACCCTCCGTGCATTATAACTTTCGTCATGTCAGCTTTTACCCCACTTCCGATCAGCTCTCCTGTACTGGTTTTCTGCGGTCGAGGCAGGTTCTTTACCGAAGCAGGGGAATATCCTGGTAAGTAGCGATCACTGGGGGCTACTTTCTTAAGAAGGGGATGATCAATAAAGACGACAGCATTTTGCATCTACAAAAAGGAAATATTATCTATTATGTTACCAAGGTACTCTAAGCAAATAACTGACTTTTTCCCAATTGCGTTTTCTCTATCTGTGTGGGTCATGTGCTGTTTAACATCCGTGTTTTGAGACAAACACTTGGTTCAATATTTTCTTCAAATCACGAAAACATCTATTCCGTTCATGATTTTTTGTTGCCTTTATAAAATGCAAAACACACTCAGTACTATTAAGGAACATTATTCGAGCTTTTCATAGACATCACAAAGTAACCACCTGTTCAATTTACAGTTTCATATAGATGGTCACTCAGACGGTGCTGATCCCTTCAACAGACTCAGGAATCCTATCTACAGAATGCCAAGAAATGAACATGAAATTCGGTTGATGATGGAGAAAAACGATGTCTTTATTCAGGTAGCATAATAAGGGAATGCTAAAGCATAGTCAGTACTGTAAAGCAGTTGGGTTATTATTTTAATTAAATGTCCATTAAAACAGCACCCTATCTCCTTTTTTATCAATAAATTGTTGTATGTGTGCCTGTATGTGTGCCTGTATTATTACACACACACACACACACACACACACACACACACACACACACACACACACACACATATACCCGCCTTTTGATCGGTTTGCTATTCATGTCCATGACAAATGTACCTTTATTGCAGCAATATACAGAAAAGATGTCTACTCAAAAACAAATACGCAACTTTTTCAGTTCAGATTCGTCCATTTTGGGAAAGAGATTCAGATTCAGGTGTCCCAATGGGTAATTTCGCCCCTCTCCTTACTAATCAGTTTCTCTTTGCACACGAATCTGACTTTTTTACTACTTTAATCAAAGAAAACTTTACCAACTTCCTCCTCAGTTTTACCTCATTTCCTTCGACGATGCCAAGTATCTTCACCTTCAAATGTCATGGAAGCACCTTTTCCTTTCAAGTTTTTCAATAAAATCAGAACATCACGACCTGGTCAAAATTTTATTCCTGAACTTGTACAGTAGAGGTTCTGAGGAATGCACGTAAATCGCACATTGTTTGTCAACATGATACTTTGCTGTTATCCAATACTGTGACCTATACGAATAGTTTCCCTCCTCTTTGTCATTCATTCAAATGGATCGGGAGGTCAAGATTGGTTACATCAAAATTTTGACTTTGACACCCGATGTCATCTGTTTCGGCAAAAGTCAATATTAATTCGAACTAGAGTGCACCTCTTGAATTTTACCATTTAACTTCAAAGTAATTCATGCGCAGCAAAAATCCTTTATCGGCTTCTGTCAAATGAACGTCGTTTATCAACCAATCACACATATTCCAATTCGTTTTACAATTACAGCTGACGAAACCTTTGAACAATATTATAACATAGACTAACTACTAACTGTGTTCCTTATTTGATATCACACTGATTGTAATGAACTTAATCTGCAAAATTGTGTTCAAGGCAGCTGCCGGGACCGGGTTGATAAATCGCTTCATCTGGGTATGGCCACCCTACAGTGAGGAGGAGAAGCCTTACGTCTCCATACATCTGGAAGTGGGGCTGATGTACACAGAAGAAAACGCATTGTTAACGTGTTACTGTATGAAGTCAAACTATATCAATTTCGAACATTCTTGTGTTTGGATACAACGGGCTGAATATGAGGGTGAAGATGAGAAATACTTTAACATAGAGCGAAAAAAGTGTCGAGATATGACCCTGGGCGGTACGGTAGAGATCGTGAGTACAGACAAAGCTATAGAGCTGGCTAAGTCAGGCAGCTGGATCAAGGCGAGTGACAGCGTCATCTTGGACATTGACGAGGACTTTTATGGATGTGAAGCTGTGTCCGCACCTCTGTATGATGCTGGGATGAATGAGGACGACATTGAAGGTCTGTCCTTCTATGTTGGAAAGATTTTGTGTACTGACAATGCAAAGGATGAAATGAAAGCTGATAGATACTTTCAGAAACTTCTCAAAGCTGTGCAAGAAACACTTAAACGTTGCCATAGTGGCCGACTAGGAGAAGAGACATGTGAGTCTAACCATGCATTCACTGAAGCAGTATTAGCCTTGATGCCAGATATGACAACAACGAAAGATATCATGTGTCTTCCTAAAGAGTCGACACTGGTCATGCTAGAGAACCTTGTCGAGCGTCTGTCACGATGTTCTGACACACAACTTCAACATATAGCAAGCATTGGCGTTTGCATGTACGCGTCCCCAAGATCATCAAATTTTAATCGTAATGACGCAATGATTCTCTGTAAAGGATGCAACGGACCAAACAGCAAACGGGTAATTTTTCATAGTACAAATGAACAGGAAATCGCAACTACTTCCAGAAATCTCAAAGAAATGTTGACACAAGCTTTCATCCCTAAAGTGGTGACAGTGTGCAGATCTGTGAGGGATGGATATACACCGAGAAAGGAGTTTCCACTGATAGAAGAGGGGGTGTTGGGTGTTCTGAAAGCAGTGTACCCTGATCACGTGACAGACGACACAATACATTACGACAGTGAGCTGCTGGGAGGGCGTGGAGGATGGTACTTCAGATACTAAAATTTGAATACTATGTGTTCATTATTTGGCCATATGGTATTACCAGGGGTATACACATTAAATGAAACACCGAGAACAAGTAGGGTTGGTCTAAGTTAACGCTCATCACCTACCGCACGTGCATTTGTTTCACTGTTCCAACTGCTGAGCTTATCCCCTTGTAATACAAACCAATAATAGCGATTTGAATCTATGATAGTTTGTCAAACAACTTTTATCCTAAGTAGAATAAAATTCTGAGATTTATATGTTCAATTGGCAAGGTAAAATTATGAGGTTTCGCAATCTTAATTTCACTTTCTTTTATTTACTTTTTTGTTTAAAGTTGAAATTCATCGGTACGTTTTCACTGCAAATAGATTATATATGTATATACAATATAACAGTCTTACATCGTGCTATTATGTTGATGAATTTTCCACTTTGTCCACAGTTTAAAAATTATTTACATCAGGCACTATTCTTCCTTGTATCCTCAATCGATAGTGCGGCATTCTCCCAGACAAGAGGTAATGTCACTCGGAAAAAAGTCACACTCACAAAAAACTGATCTCAAAATGCATTCACGATTTTTGGGGTTATTGTTTCTCTGTGAGGAGCCGTGCATTGAAAATGGTTTACGTAAGGTCATCGGTCCGGGTTTTTTCACAATAACCTTTGTCAGTTTTGCAGACATAGTAACGTCGGGAGGCATGAGGCGATGAAGCACCCTTGTTGTTAACACCCCCATTCCACAGAGATTTCCGACTCATCGGTCACTCATCGGAACCAAAGTTTCTCCCTTCCGGTAACCCACCGAAGAGTATCGTATCACAGTCCGAGGAATCCGATTTGTGTCTGTCGACTATCAGGTCAGTGTCCGACGTGTCGGGCGTGATCCGATGAGGCGAAATCGTCCGATGAAGGAACTTAGTTCGCCATCGGACGCTATTTCCGGTCGCAAATCGAGTCAGTTCACGCTCATCTTTACACCACACCACTTCTTCTGTTTTTAGGAGTAGCCTTCTAGCCTTCATCCATAATTCAAATGTCTACTTTGGATAACCACTGCTTTCATCAAATAATGCTTCCAGAGTGTTCGAATTGTTTTAAGTTTGAAGTCATGGTAACAGTTCTGTTCTGATTGTTCTTCCGGACATCACTCCTACAGCCAAAACAACTGGCAACCTGGCACATTTGCCTCATCATTCCTGGTAACCTTTCACTCGGAAAATTGTCAATATTCCTAATGCTCAGTGGCTGGTGTATGTAGACGCTGGTGATCCATATGCAAGTAGTAAACCATTACCATTACTGACAGCAGCATGGAAGAAATCACCCCCATACGCATGGGAAAGGTGCTGAGATATCTCGAGGGTAATCCGGTTCAATCGGACTCGTGGAACCTCTGATTTCTGGTACACCTAAGCGCCCATCATACTGCAACACCCACACGCTCTTCACCAATCGGATAGTGCTGACAGACTGCGCCAGTCTCTAGTGTTTAAGGTCTCGATTCTACTATGTGTTGATGTTGTGGATGCGTACGAGGGGCGTCCCAAAATTAGTCAGCCTAACTATATTCTCGATGTCCATTTTATTTTGAAGGAATCATTAGCAAAGCCATATCCAAAATTTCACATATGTGGGTAATGTGGTCAACGAGATCACAACACATTGGGGTATAATATTTCTTCAAAAATTGCAGAAAGTGAAAAAAGATCTGTCATTTTGTACCTCTTGGATAATGGTATGCCTTCAGATAATATCATATAAAATATGTTCAGTATAATATTGGATGTTTTCCCGTCATAATCAAAGTTCAAACATTTGGATTGCTTGATTTATATTTAGACGTGGCCATTTTTAAAGGACACCCCTATTTTAATCTTTCAAAAATATTGTGTGCAGATATTCAAGCTGGTACTGTTTACAATATATTGAGTGCTCACCATTCAGTATTTAGTTCGAACCCTTGGCATAATGCATGAATAAGTGAAAAACATTAGAATAAATCATGTCCTTATGATTACGTCATCTAAAAGGGGTTGGGTAGCGTCTCCAAAACAAGCTCTTTCAGTGAACATCATGGAGGGAGTCACTTTAACAAGCGATTGCAAGACAAAATAAAAAGACACCCTTGTAACGATGACTGTTTTGTAAAATATGTTGTAATCAATATAGGAGGAAATCAGATTTGGAGTAAAAAACCTACTGCAAATTTACATAATCTACATACAAAGTATAAAGTTCAGATTTGAAGCTTCTTTAATCACACTGCCAAGCGGCAATTTAGGTGTGCACCACTTCGATTACGCACACATTACACGTCCCCGTTTCGCTGTAGTGACTTTGTATTGCAGATGACAGAGTGAGTGAGTGAATGAGTTAAAATTTAACATCGGCAATATTTCAGCCATATCGTGACCAAAACAAGTTTAGAATTCACCATAAGTGCATGTAAATGATAAAAACCTGTCATCTTAGGACAGTAAAAGATCAGAGTATCAAGAATTAAAATTAGCATCTCTCTCTAAAATTGGATTTTAAATGAGGACAATACAGTATAAAAATGGGCTATAGATCGCCAACAACTAAAAGTAGGTCACCATACCAGGGACCATGGGGACTTGCAGAGCTTTTGCTATCTGCATGGACCCAAGCTGGATTTACACCATCCCTTCAGCCGCTGGCGATTGTAGGAAAGTTAAGCCATAACTTAAAACAACGAATATGCTACGATTAAAAGTTCGGTAGAGCGAAATTGACCCAGATGACAGAGATGGGACAGACCGGCAACCAACATGAACGTTGTCCTGAGGGTGGCTTTATGTTCATGTAGTAGTACTGGCTTTATATATCATTGATCTTCGGAAGTATGTGACATGCAAGCTGAGAAAATAGCCATGTTCCACAACCTTTATGAATAGCAAGAACATATCAGGAGGTTCGAACATAAGAAAATCGTAAGTCTCCTCCACACACCAACACATCACGATCAAGGCTGTACTGTATCATGATTTAGTATGAAAATATGAAAAGAAATATCAGTAAGTGCTTGTTAATCTTATCTTACGATACAAATTTATTTTACAAAGAAGATGTTACGTTCCTAATCAAGTGACCACGTAAGTACTCTTCAATAAGAAAATGCCAATTTTACATTGTTGGCCAAGGCGCAAGCAAATGTCTCCAACAGGAAAACAACAACTAGAACGCAGTATTGAAAGGAAATTACGATAAAGTAAAATTTGTTGATTCAGATCCGATCAGACCTGTATTGAGCTGAGAACGACTGTGACAATGTTTCAGTTTTCAAATGATCGTTTTCATAGGCCACCTTCTAATATATAAATGTATTGTGATGGAATTCACACTTGCCTGGTTGTTAACTAAATCGCAAAAGAAACGGAACTTGAATTTCAAATGCCAATAAATGTTAATTTATGGAACACATAATCTTAACATTATGAATAAACAGCAGATAAGTAATCGTTGAAGAAATGGGTAGTGATCTCTAGTGAAAACAACATGTTTATTGAAAAAGCACTTGTCACCACTCCACCCCAAAACACTGTCTCCATCAGTAGCGGGTATGACCCCCATGGGCTGCAATACACGCAGTACAGCGTCGTCTCATTGAGTCAACAAATTTCTGGAAGAAGGCTTGGGGCATTTGATCTCATTCTCTGTCCAATCTGGCTTCTAAATCCCTAAGGTTTAGAGGTGGACCAGCTGCCAATTCCAATATCCGTCTTCCAATTTCATCCCACACATGCTCGATCGGCTTCATATCCGGGGATACAGAGGGCCAGGGCAGTACAGGCATATTGTTCCCTCTCAAGAAGTCCACAGAGACCCGTGCTGTGTGAGGACGAGTATCATCCTGCTAGAAAACCTGGAGTTGAGGCTGGGCCTCGAACAGCGGTACAACGTGGTTTTGAAAAACTTCGTTTCTGTAGACTCAGGAGTCACACGTTGACGAAACACGTGCAAACGTATTCTCTGGTGGTAGCTGAAGCCACCCCACACGATGACGCTTTCTCCTCCCCAGCGGTCAGCCTTCAGGACGCAGCAGTTGGCTTAACGCTCATTACGTCGTTTCCATACACGGAATCGGCCATCGGCGTGTGACATGTGACTAATGTTACGGTGTGGTCCTTGAATGGTTGAAGCCGTCTGTGTTGCTCGTTGTTGTCGGTTTCGCAGATGAGTAACCCGGATGTGACGTTTTTGAGCTGGCGTTGTTACCCTCGGGCGTCCTGAGCGTGGCCGGTGGCGGAGAGTCTGGCGATTGATGTCACGTGACATGCGAATTCCCGGTCCACCGCAGTTGTTGTTGATCCGGTCAACAACATTCCAATGGCGATCCCTTGTTGCTGTTGTGTTAGACGTGGCATGTTTTTTCAGCGTTCGACAAGTCGATTTTGTGGTGTGGTGGGTATTTTAATGACCTGCCTTATAAGGGATTCACCTAGAGGGAAATGCACGCATTTTTGTGTGAAACATGAAAAAGTCATGCAAAAAAACACCAAAATCATGAAAAGGATCGCGTTCGAGCGAAACGGCAAAACCATCTTTGAATGCGTGGTTTAATCATGGGATACTTTTTTTAATGTTTAAATCTAAGGTACAATTATTTTTTTATTTTTGTTTTTAAATTATTTTTTTATTTCCACTTCATGGAATTTATATATGATGCTTTCCAGACATTGATAGGTTATATTTCAAGTTAAACATCTATACATTGTCCAACATTCCACACTTACACATACATACATATACAAATTTATATACACACATACATATATACACAGACACACACACGTGTGTGTGTGTGTGTGTGAGTGAGAGAGAGAGAGTTTGTGTGTGAGTTTGTGTGTGTGTGTTTGTGTGTGTGTAATATTTTCTATACATTGTGAAGGTACAATTAGTTTTTGTACTTGTAAATTAGAAAAAAAAACACCATAAATTGATTCTGTCATTTCAGTCTGAATCTGTTCTGTCACAAAAGCTCTCCTTGGTACTGTATGGCAGGACGGAGGACCAAAATCCTGCCATATAGCTACGTTTACGTGTATACGTTTACAAAATGTTTTCACAGATATATCAATAAATTATAACCTTAAAGATATATAAAATTAAAACGTTAAAGGTCACGTAAACCCTAGGGGTTAAAAATACATAAATCACTAACTGGCATCGTTATAAATGAAACCCCGTCATTAAAACTACTCATTTCGACCTTTAATTGACTTAAATCGACCTTTTTGACAACAGTGCACAATTCTCACCCGCGAACGAAATTTCAACCAATCAGAGCGGCGCGACTCTGTGACGTCATATGAGGAATAGCTTTGAGGGCCGATGCAGAATTCATCTACATTTTAGGGGGTAAATTATCTTGTTTACAGGCTTGTATAAACCTGAAATCGTGACAATTGATGTGGAAAATGAAAGCTATATGTTTTCACAATCTACTGGCATTTAATTTTGTCTCCTGCTTTGCCTAGTTTCCGAGTTACAACTTGTTTTCATAGACGCTTCTGTCACAATTGATTGGTGTCGTTAGGCCCTATTTGTATAATGACTGATCCAAATTGATCCCATTTCTGTGTTTTTTTACCTCGATATTTAATCATGTCATGTAAAAATCTGTTTGTATTCTCAAAACAGTGTCGACCCATAAGTTTTCACATGCAATACAGCAATTAATACTCCCTTGTTGTAACCCGTGTTAGGTGGTATAAACCTACACATGTTATTTGTCATCATTCACTTGATGGTCAGTTAATGAATTTATAACAGGTATAATTAGTGGTAACACACTTAGATTACCCGACAAAGGTTCCCATTTGGCATTTCTTGTGTCTGGAGTAAATATTCAACATTATAAACATCGATCAAAGGATTAACCGATAACACGCTGATCGATTAATTACTTTTATCTTACACAGCGGAATTGTCAAAAGGTAGTATTTATGTATGTAGATTTACTAATCTATACTGAATACACCCTGCCGTGTCGGTGTCTGCGTAAAAACAACGTCCTTCTTTCAAAGGATTAACCGGCAATACATTGATTGATTGCCCATTATTGGCTAATTAAATTACTGTTTTTAATGAAAGGCGGACATTATGCAATTAGTTGCCAGGTGTGCTATCTTGGGTGACCAATGAGACTATACACCAATACCTGAAAAGATTTATCACTTTTTCGTATATTAAACTGTTAAAAGACACATCATTTGGAACAGTTTTGTGGATATTGATGGATACATTCCTCAAACAAGGTAATGGATGTCTGTCCAAGATGGCGACGGATGTAAACCTATCCTCTCTACTCTCAGAAACCAACTCCGTTTTAGATGGCTATGCAGTCGGTGAAAGCCTATATTTTGGCGAGACAGCTTCTGGTATAACAGGCAATGTTTTTGATTGCTCTGGGCTGATTTATCAACCCCCTGTAGACAACTACTCAACTCCTAAGGGATTTCAACAGTCTCAGACAGCCCCGAGTAATGGCGACGAGAACACAACTTCAACGCAAACAGGTACGAATTGTGAAATTTTACTCGAGCATATCAGGTCTAACATCAGCGGTTACGCCAGGGTTACATTTGTCAATAACCTAATATCAAAAGTGCAAGGTGATGCAAACATATTGGATGAACTTAGACTTGTGCTCTTGAATATGTGTAAGAAAAGTGAATCATTCCCCTTTCAAGATAGTGCGCTTAAACGAAGAAAGGATCGTCGCGCCAAACAGGGTGAAAAACTGGAGAAATTAGCTAAAGACTGCTTCATTCTCTTCCGATGTTATTGTGGTGAAAACTCTGATGATATTTATGATGTCTTAAACATTCAACCCAGGAAGGCAACAAAACAACCCAGTGGGGGTGACACAAACACACAGGGTACAATAGCGCCAATCAGTGAGACAATAGCACGGCTTGAACGTGATTTGTATACACTCAAAGGTGAATATACACAGGACATTGACTGCTTACACAACAAAGTGAAACATCTCGAGGACTCTAACAATAGGCTTACATCAGAGCTTGTGGTCGCACGAGAAGAATCTGCAAAATTAAGAGGTAGTGTTGATAAATTACGAGAAAGGATGCGTAAGTCCATGGAACAGTTACACAATGACAGCAAGTGCGCTAGGGTTGAAGTGAATAACTGTAAAGAGTCCATTGAGAACCTCAAATCTACAGTGGCTGAATGTAAACGGGACATCAAGCTAATTTCTGAAATTGAGCTCCCAAAACATGATGCGGTAGCAGTTGAGGCAGTGAAGACAAACAGTAAGTTTGAATCTCGCCACTCAGATCTTCGAACATGGTTAAAGACTTGAAGTCCAAAGTTGATGATGGCTGTCTGAATATCTCGCATATCTCCGATGAGCGTCTTCTGGGCATTGGCTCTATTAAGTCAAAGGTTACGTTGATTAATCAGCGACTAACTTCTATCGAAGATGACGTCAAGTCCGTGGATAACCAGTGCAAATCATGTTCGTCGTCGTCTCTAGGAGACCTAAAGAAGAAGGTGACCATGTTGGAGAAAAAAGGATTCAAAGAAGAACAAATATAACTCCTACGCCGAGGCAGCAAAACAGAGCAAGCCTCACAATGATTCTAATACCAGTCAACAACCAAGCACATATCCAAAAGAAACTCAAAGAACATCTGGTAGCATTGTACATTCAGTACAGGAAATTCACACTCAAAACGAATCCACCTCCAATCACGTCACTCCAGCTTTTCAAAGCAACAAGCCATCGATGGAAGGAACTTCTGTTGGGACCATCCAAGGTTCAAGTACCATGTCAGCTACCCCAACCGAGAAAATTACATCGTCTGACGATAATAATGACTCAAACAATAGGATTCAAGTCCTCATCAGTAACAGACAAAGACCATTGTCCAACCTTGATGCTGATGAGTTTTGTGCAGGTCCTATTCGCCCGCGGACCAGACGTTACTACATTGGCAGAATCCAGAAGTCCTGCTCTGAACAATCGATCAAAACTTATATGGTGGAGAGGGGAGTAACTGTGACGCACCTTAAAATCTTCATCAAACCCGAGAAACGCTACGCTGCTGCACAAATAAATGTTCTCGCTCAAGATAGGCTACTTGTTGAAAACGTTGATTTCTGGCCAGAAAACATTATTGTCAAGCCGTGGCTGAGCAGGAAAAAGTTTTGGCAACAAATAGAGGAAAGACAGAGAATGAACGATGCTCCCCAGGATAACCCCTCTTAGATATGTCTCTCCCAATCATTTCACTTATGTCATGGAACTGTCGTGGTGTAATGTCAAGTGTATGTTACCTCAACGCTACTCTCTCTCAAAACCATATCCACATATGTGCCTTGTCCAATCACCAGCTTGGTGCCCACAATCTGTCATTCTTGGATTCCCTAAATGAAAACTACTTCTCAGTCGCCAACCCAGCTCAAGAACCCCGCAACCAGAGGTCTCAGAGGAGTGGGGGAACAGCCTTCCTATGTCACAAAGATCTTAAGCCATATGTCCAGGTTCTAGATATTGTCAATGATAGAATCACTGCCCTAGAACTCTCTGTTCCAAATCATCATCCACTCTATCTCCTATCGATCTACCTACCCCCTTCGAATCGATCCATAGATCTCTACAAAATGTGCCTTGATGAACTCCAAGAAGCATATTCTGCCTTGTCTGAAAGGAGCCCGGTAATCATCCTAGGCGACTTTAATGCAAAGATTGCAGGCCCAAGAGCAAACGTTAACCTTGACCAAAGAGCTAGCATGCTCGGGGAGCTCTTGTCAGAAAATTCACTAATCTCTATCAACATGCAGAGCTTCTGCACAGGCCCAGTGAATACCTTCTATGCATATACAGGAGGCCCCCAGACACCAATTGACCACATCGTAGTGCCAACTGAGCTTATGTATATCATCCACTCGGCAGAAGTGATTGATGATAATCCACTCAACGTTTCCGACCATCACCCAGTTGTATGCCTTCTTGCAATTGACCTACCTAGTCAACCAGCTGCAAATCCTCCTATACGTAGACCAGCTTGGAACAAAGCCCTCCAGAACAGCTCAATCAAGGACTACACACATGCAGTCTCTAACTCCCTCTGGGGTAAGCAGCTGCCAGCTCTAGACTGTGACAGGGAAGATATTGAACACCTTACTGATATAATTACTATGGCCCTCACTATGGCTGCGTCTGACTGTCTTCCAGTGAGACATTTCAGGCGTTATCTAAGACCATACTGGAAGGAACAAGTGAAAGACTTCCACGACCTGATGTTATCTTACAGACACAAATGGATTCTAGATGGGAGACCTAGAGGCATGACTTACACTAGCTTCCGTGACTACAAGAAATCCAAAGACAAATTTCGAGCTGCTATGAAAGAAGCTGCAGCACTTTATGAAACAGAGCACTTCAACAATCTTGATAAACTATATGACATTGACCAGAAAACATTCTGGGCTCTCCTCAACAACAGAAACAAGAAATCACACATTTCAACCATAAGTGTATCAGGGAACCATACCACAGATTCCTTGGAAATCTGCCATGCACTCGCTGACCACATGAAGACTATATTCAGCAAAGGGGTAGATGATCACTTTGACCAGAACTTTAAAGACCATCTAGAAGGCAGAGTTGCTGAACTAAAACACTGTACCTCTAACAAGATAATCGACGTCAAGTGCCTTCTGACCTCTCAGTCTGAGGTAAGCAAGCTTTGCAAATCTCTGAAAACAACAAGGCCTGTGGGTTGATGGAATCTACTATGAACACTTGAAACATGGAGGCTCAACTCTTCATTATTATCTTTCTGAATTATTCAACAGAATATTCACTACAGGTTCTATCCCATCCCAGTGGAAGAAAGGTATCATCATCCCAATCTTCAAAGGCGGAGGCAAACCAAGGACGTCCCCAGATTCATATAGAGGAGTGACTTTGTTGCCTGTTATGTCAAAACTTTTCGAACAGGTCATAGCGAACCGGATCCCACAATTCCAAGACTCCACGGATTTCCCTGATCCTCTGCAATGCGGCTTCCAGAAAAGCCTCTCGTCTCTTCATGCATCATTCCTCCTTCAGGAGACAGTCTACCACTACAAGGAACGGAATGACTCTCTGAAAGTGGTGTTCTTGGACAGTAGTAAAGCCTTCGACACTGTGTGGCATGATGGGCTACTCTGGAAGTTGAAGGAGTTGAACATTCATCCAGGTGTGTGGCGCATTTTCTGCAACACATACTCTGGAATGGAAAGTTGTGTTCTTGCCAATAATACTTACTCATCCTGGTTTAAACTCGACCGTGGGGTGAGACAAGGTAGCGTCCTTTCTGCTAAACTCTACTTGGTTTACATCAACGAGCTTCTGACAAACCTATCACATCTTAAGAAGGGAGCATTCGTACTGGATCTCCACCTCGCTGCTCCAACTCAGGCAGATGATATCTCACTGATCAGCCCTATCACAGCTCATCTACAATCTATGGTAACAGAGTGCCAGAACTACAGTGCCAAATGGCAGTTCACATTCTCTCCTTCAAAAAGCAACGTATTGGTCTTCAATCCGCAAAAAAACCAAGTGCAATATCAAACTTTACGGAAAGAAGTTACCTGAAGTGGACAACACAAAGCATCTTGGCATTCTTCTCGACTCACACCTTAGCAGCCACACTCGAACATCAAACGCAAGTTCGAAGATGAAGTCAGCTGCAATGATGCTGATGAAATCAGGCCTACACAACAGTGGGCTGAATCCAATTACCAGCTCCAATCTCGTCAAGTTCAGGTGTCTACCCAAAGCCTTGTTTGGGTGCGAATTGTGGTCAGGTTTGAAAAGAGCGACATTATCACTGTCGAAAGGGCACAACGATTCTGTTTAAAGATGTGTCAGGGGCTCCCAAGAACTACTAGATCTGACATATGTAATTCCCTGATTGGATGGTACTCGGCAGAATCACATATTGACACAAAGAAGCTGTTTTTTCTTGGCTCCTTGTGTAACAGTAAGAAGCACCTGCTTTGCTTCAAACTCTTTATCTCACGCCTGTTTGCGTTTAGAAACTGCATATTGAAGACAAGAACAGGTTTTATACCAGATATAGTTCATGTACTTGAAAAAAACACAAACTGAGGCACTTTCTCGAGAATTTTGTCTCCTCCGGCATCTTCATGAGTCAACTCTCCTGGAAGAAGATTGTAAAAGACTCTGTCATGGAATACGAGAAGTCCTCCTGGAACCAACGAATGACATCAGATCCAGATCTCAGACACTTCAGGACATTACACCCCTCGATAGAGCCACACCCAGCTTGGCTACTTGCCAAAAGATACCCCTCCTTGAAACAACAATGCATCTTCACAGTACAATTGTGTGCTCTTTGGCGTCATCACCGTGTGTATGGACCTTGTGATAAATGTAGTGTGAACTGTGCAGACCCCTTGATCCATGTCCTAACAGCGTGTGAAGCTTGTGCTGGCTGCAGAGACCAACTCTGGTGTGACATTATCAACGTGGGCCCGGTGGAGTTGAGCGTGCAACTTCACAACAAGACTGATATGGACCTGGTGTGCAGCCTACTTTCCTGCCGCCCCCCAGTACTGCTCTCTGGCGAGGAGACTGAGCTGTACACACTGACTGTTGTTAATGGACTCTACGCGACCTGTAATGCATGAATATTCTATGCGCTTCTCTTGTTAACTTAAAACTATCTTAACTTTTCTCGCATTCCCTTGTACTCTCCATTGGAGGAATAAAAGTGTATATATGTAGATTTACTAATCTATACTGAATACACCCTGCCGTGTCGGTGTCTGCGTAAAAACAACGTCCTTCTTTCAAAGGATTAACCGGCAATACATTGATTGATTGCCCATTATTGGCTAATTAAATTACTGTTTTTAATGAAAGGCGGACATTATGCAATTAGTTGCCAGGTGTGCTATCTTGGGTGACCAATGAGACTATACACCAATACCTGAAAAGATTTATCACTTTTTCGTATATTAAACTGTTAAAAGACACATCATTTGGAACAGTTTTGTGGATATTGATGGATACATTCCTCAAACAAGGTAATGGCCTGATATTGTTCCTATAACTTTAATCTGTTTTAATTTTAATATTGCATTTTGTTTTTATTCATTTGTCGTAGCATTCAACAGAATCATTGTTTTCGCCGTGAAGTGTAATGAGACAGACAACATACACTAGGGTGTGTGTGCGAATTATGATTCACATTGGCAAACTATAAAATGTCTAGATATTACAGTCCTGTTATAAATTCACTATAAGTATCAGCAGATCGTCAGCTTTTTATTTAGTTTCAAAATGCATAAAAGTATGGTAATAAACTAATTAGGATTATAAGACCAAATATAAAGACGCACATTGACTAGTATCTACATACTGGTGAGTGGACATTAACCATGTGAATGTAGCAAGAAATTTATCGCCGCCAGTATTGTGACTTCGACCCCCACCTCGCTTCCGTGGAAGAAATCGTTATGTTATAAGTTGTGTCATGCAAAATCCTTTTGGTTATGATTCCAATACATATTTAACTACGAGTAGAAAGTAGTTTTGATTTTCTAACTTGATGAAAACAAACTATAATCTCATTAATTCTAACAGACTTTACGATTTTCAAAATGGCGGCTTCTGTCGCGAACATCCGCCAGTCTGTGGATAAATGCTATTTAGGTTTGTTTTCACCGAGTTACAAAATCAAAACTGCTTTCTACTGGTAGTAAAATATGTATTTTATTGATGGCCAATAGGATTTTGCATGACATAGCGTATAACATAACAATTTCTCTCCTGGCAGCGAGGTGGGTGTCAATATAATACTACTTACAATATTATTGTTACTTCGACCACAACCTCACTTCCGAGGAAGAAATCGTTATGTTACAAGTTGTGTTATGGAAAATCTTTATGGTCATCAATCATATACATATTTTACTATAACTAGTAAGTAGTTTTGATTCTTTAACTTCCGTGAAGCGATCTGAACACAAGTAAGATATCGTTTCAGGCTTCCACAACGCTCGCTTCGCACTCACAAACATAACCCATTTAGCACGAACTGCGGGGTCCTGTGGAAATCTGTGCATGGTGACACCATCACCCGACCCCTAGGAGCAATTGACGACAAAGCAACGATTCGGCATGTCGTCGTTCATGTCGAAAATCATCAAAATGATGAGCGTGCTACACACTTTCTATACAACTAACTGAAAATCGTTCCGCATATGACGTCACTGCAGTGCTCTGGCGACAGAGTTACGTAACCTGTCTGTGGTTTCGTTGGCGGGCGAGAGGGAAGCAGGCGACTTTTTGGCCACTTTTAATCGCTCGGTATTAATTAACCACAAGTTTTTAAAGAATAAATTTGGTGTTCCGCATAAGACTAACCACAAATCTTTCATATGTAATGGTTAAAAGAGTAACAAAAAACAAAGTTTAGTGGTTCTTTAAAAGTTATCTCTATACAATTGTACTTATATTATATGGGGGCGCGGTGAGTGTGCTGGCTAAGGCGCCAGGCTAGTGATCCAGCGAGGTTGAGGTGTCGGGATCGAGCCCACCTGTGACCGGGTGTAAATACCTTGGAGTCAACTTTGTGTGCAGACTCTTTGAGTGTTGTCACAACCCCCAGTGTACAGTACACAACCCTGTGCACTTAAAAGAACCGTTGAATACGTGCAAACACCTAGTTTCGGGTACAGCAACGTGCAGTGAACTTGGACAAAGTACTTTGACAATGTGTCCCAGTCCACCCAGCTGTGAATGGGTACCTCGTTAGGATGAGAAAGCCACAATAACTCGGTGCGCCAAGTGGCTGCAAGAGTTGTATACTCCCCAGTGAGTTGAGATTGATAATATGATGTGCCGTTGAAATTGACATCCAGTTATCGAGGGGAAAAATACCAGCGCCTTGAGCAAACACTAGTTGCCTGGATATGTGCGCTATATAAATATCCTATAATAAATAATAATAATAATAATAATAATACCTGGCCTTTGAAATGTCTCACCTGCATCCTAAGTACACTGTCGTCGGGCTTACCATTGTTTTCAGTGTCCTTGAGTTGGTACCTCCTGATCTCTTGGCGCAGACCAGGCGCTCTACCGGGAGCCTCAGAGTCACTAATTGTGGCTGGTAGATTGTTCCAGAGAGTTGCTGCTAACGCGCTAAAGCATCTGTCGCCATATTACTGTACAATACACCTATCATCCAAGCAGTTAGTCGGTTGCAGCAGTGATACCAGTCATCACAGTTTGAAGTAAAAGATTTACTCACAATATTTTATCTCTTATAAGATGTCTCCATCAGTCAGTGCTGTGATTTTTTTACATATGTCAATTTATAGATCCATTACTTCCAAAATGTTAATACCATTTAAAGTTTTTAAATAAGAAGTAAATTACGGAGTCTTGTCTCAACAAGCAGCAGATCATACTGACTGCACCAGAGGATGTGCATGATACCTAAATAGAATTAAATGACAAGTGTTTTTTTCTTGTTTTGGTAATTTTATGTTGACAATACATTTTCCCTGAAAGGCCATCTACTATCTATCTGTAGCTATTCTGATTTTCATTCAACAAAGACAACTGTAGCATTATGTCTTTCTATGGGAATTGACATGCCATAGAAAATGTGTTTAAAATAAAATATTGTTATGACGACATAAATTTAAGTTTAACTCGATTCTCATTCTATGTAGATGTTTATGCATTTGTTTATATGTGTACATATATAATACTTATGTATTATGACCGCTAAAAGGTCATGCATGTGTAGTATAATATCAAAGTACACATGCACAATCATGCAAAAATATCAGATAAAATTACAACACTGTACAATGCAGATATATATTTATGTATGCTGAAGGCCCGGGTTCGATCCCCGGTGGAGGCACCTAGGTTCTGCTCCCGAGGTGGGCACATTTGCGTCGTATCCTTGGACAAGATACTTAGATCCACATTGTCTCAGTTCACCCAGCTGTAAAATGGGTACCCGTGAGGATGTGCTAGCAATGTGAGTGTTAAGTTCATTGCGCCTAACAGGCAGCATGGGTGTATGATCCCCAGGGAGTTGAAAAAGTATCGGAATGTGCGATAGTGTCCTATGACCGGGGATAGTAATGTACGTAGCGCCGTGAGCAGGTAATGTGCCTGGATATGAGCGCCATATAAGCGGACTATTACTATTACTATTACTAAAGAGGAATAAAGAATGACTTTCTTGATTTATTTGTGTGGGACAAATCAGTTTATAGCAAGGAAACATAAAAAGCTAGGTCATAAAAATAAAAGCTTTGTCATGAGTGTTCATCTTCATATAATGTGTGAGTGAGTGAGTGAGTGCGTTTATTTTTACGCCGCACTCAGCAATATTCCAGTATATGGCGGCGGTCTGTAAATGGACCAGACAACCCAGTGATCAACAGCATGAACATCGATCTACGCAACTGGGAACTGATGACATGTGTCAACCAAGTCAGCGAGCCTGACCACCAGATCCCGTTAGTCGCCTCTTACGACAAGTATGGGTTACTCTAGGCCAATATTCTAACTCGGACCTTCACGGGTCTCTTCACATAATG